CACTATTCTTACTTTTAAAATAAAATGCAGTTATGCTGGGTATGGTGGTCCATACCGTTAATCCCAGCATACAAGAGGCAGAGGTAGGAGGACTTCTGTGAGCTCAAGGCCATCTTGGATTACGTAGTGAGTTCCAAGCCAAGCAGGCTACATAATGAGACCCCGTCTCAATCAATCAATCAATCAATAAATAAATAAATCATAGGGCTGGAGAAATGGTGCTGAGGGTAAAGAGCACTGGCTGCTCTTCCAGAAGACCCAGGTTCAAGTCTTAGCACCCAAATGGCAGTTCAAACCATCTGTAACTCCAGTTCCAGGGGATCTGATGCCTTCTCATGTGTCCTTCCCAAGGGCTCATGAACTTCGTACACATACACAGACATCAGTAAGCACACACAACTAAAAATGAAAATAAACCTTTAAATATGTATGTATAAAATTGTATTTGTTATTATTGATTCATATTGCATTATTTGTTACAGGGTCTCATCATATATCCCCAGAAGTCCTGGAACTCACTCTGTAGATCAGGCTGGCCTCAAACTCAGAGATCTGCCTGCCTCTGCTTCCAGAGTGCTGGGATTCAAGGTATGTGCCCCTGCACCTAACGAAACTAAATATTTTTTTAAGTAAAAGTTAAGGGGACTGGAGAGATGGCTCACCAGTTAAAACACTTGTTTTTGCAGAGGACCTAAGTTCAATTCCCAGCATCCACATAGCAGCTCATAACCACCCATAACTCCAGTTCCAGAATGCACAAGACACAGATATACATGTGAGCAAAACACTCATACACATAAAAATAAAGTCTTAAAAAATAGTAAAAGAGCCGGGCAGTAGTGGCTCACGCCTTTAATCCCAACACTTGGGAGGCAGAGCCAGGCCGATCTCTGTGAGTTCGAGGCCAGCCTGGTCTACAGAACGAGATCCAGGACAGGCACCAAAACTACACAGAGAAACCTTGTCTCTAAAAAACAAACAAAAAAAAGTGAAAAGGTGAAAAAAAAATTAAACTCAAAATAATAGGACAAATGGCTATCACATCAATAGCAGAAAAACACCTTTTCCCCATTTCATTTGCCAAGATTGGGGGTAGCCAGAGCTAAACTGAAGGCTGTGATTCAGCTAGCCAAGCCACCATTATCATAACGGCCTCAGAAGCCTCTTCTGGCTAATGAAGCCACTTATCTCCTCCCAACAAACTGGAGACACCAGACAGACCCAGGATGAGATGAATCCTGGCATTTCTTAATCGCCATATGTTGATTGCTTAGAATGGAGAACATCCGGTTTTGTATGCAAAAAAGGCTGCAGGAGACCCAGCCCATGTTCTGCTCTAGGCTAATTAAAACCTCAGGAAGTCCTCAAGCCCTCTGCACCCCAGCTCATAAACCAGACCCCAATGTGGCTGCATCCTGGGCTTTGAACGGTGACCACGAGAGGGCGCTGCGATCCGAGCTGAGGAAAAGTGGGCGGTTTGCCGCTAGATGGCACCTCATAATCTCCGCTGAGCGGTCGCAGCCGGCTCTAGCCTCCCTGCCTCCTTCCTTGATCCTGCATCCTTGGCCACAGGACCTCTGCCCTTCATCCTTAGCCACAGTGCCCTGCATCACTCCAGGCGCACTTCCTTCCAGGCTCCGGCTGCATCTCCAAACACAGAATCAAAGTCAAGTCTAGCTGAAAATACACCATCTGCCTGTGGAAAAAAAATCTCTGGTGCTGTCACGTCAGCACCCGATGCAGGTTAATAACCAGCCTCCGAGCAGATGGCCGCTTTTTATAATTACTGGGTCCCCGCCTCGGCTTGCTCCCCTTTGCCTCCTCCCCAGCAGGAGCAGGTGGGTGTCACACCCCCGCGTGTGCCCTGCCACCTGCTGCCACCAGCTACTGGTGGCGACACAGCCTGCAGGGAGCCCCTCTCAACCAGGGAGGCCTGGACCCAGATTAAACAGATAGCCGGTATGCCGGAGAGGATGCCACAAGATCTGCATGCCAAACCTTGGAGGATAAATTAATGAGAAATTTTGAGTGAACAACATACTTTTAAATCCAGCCATTTCCCTCCGGAGGAATCTGTTATAATCCAAAGACTATCAAAATCCAAATTATGGAGATAGTAACAAAAGCATATTCACTGCAATGCTTTGATAAGAACTTGCCTAAAAGACACCCCCCACCCAATGCAATGATATAAAGGATACTGTATAACCATTGCCAGTATTTCCGAGGAGTTTGAAATTACCTTAAAAAAATATGAAGCTGGGCTAGAGAAATGGCTCAGTGGTTAAGAGGCCTGCTCTTCCAAAGGACACAGGTTCAATTCCCAGCACCCCTATGGTAGTTCACAACTGTCCATTATTCCAGTTCCAGGAAATCTGATGCCCTCTTCTGGCATATGTGGACATCAGGCACACCTATAGTGCACAGACATACATGCAGGCAAAACACCCATACAGGTACAAATAAATATATACATTTTTTAAAAGGAATGAATTTGTTGGTGCATGCCACTGAGGCAGAAGTAATTCACTTTTCTGGATTTTCCTAAGTTTTCAGCAAAAATCATTGACAAATGAAAGGAAATGAGCAGTTTCTAAGAACTGTTTTTAAAAACAGAGTTAGAGGTGGCACATGCCTGTGATCTTAATATTCAGCTGGCTGAGGCAGGAGGATCATGAGTTTGAGGATAGCCTCTAAATACACAATGAGGCCCTGTCTCAAAAATAACCCTAAACTAAACTAAATCAAACCAACCAAATCGAGGCAAACCCAGGAGAGCTAAGCACAATTGAAACTGGTAACAGTGGCTGGACATGAGTCTGCCATGTCCAGGCTACTTTCTTTCACAGTTTACTTCCTCTGGCTCCCTTTAAATTTTGTGCCAGGCTACTCAAAATAAAGTTTAACAAAAAAAAAAAAGATACAGGGCTACAATACTTTTAGATCAGGAGAAGCAATCACCAAGGAAATCCAGGAAAATGCTTTCAGCTCTGGAAAGGACGGTAGGAGGTACCCTGCTGGGCCTGGTGCCACTGAATCACAGCAAGACTGGCCGTCAAGGTGCCCTCACTTGAGGGCTGCTCCATCAGGCACACAGTGGGGTGGGACCTCATGCGGGAGCATAGAAGGGTAGGTCCAACTGCCCAGCAAATGGCATTCTATTACAACCTGACTTTTCTAAATGCATGAATGTAAGCAATTACAGAATTTGACATACTGTTCAAAATGGGGCACATGCCTCCACTCACAGCACTTGGGAGGCTGAGGGAGGAGGGTTATTGAGTTCCACAGCCTGACTGCATAGCAATACAGTGAGACACTGGTCAAAATAATGAAACAAGAAAGTATCCCCTAACCTGAAGCAGTGGACCAAAAAAAAAAAAAAAAATCTTAATTGCGGTTTCATTGCCATGCATCTGCCAACCAATGTCTTCACCTCTACACTAAAAGGGCCACTTTGGAGCCCAGTGAAGCTGTAGCAACTGGGGGTGTGGTCCTGACTTAGACTTCTAGTTCAAGAGGCCCTGAGAGTCACTTACTGTTTAACAGGAAGAACAGAAAGTGTCGGTTGAACCAGAACAGCCACAGTCTCTCCAAAGACAGCATCCGCTCCCAGCCCTGCCCTGTGCCCAGTCTCTGACTCCATGAGCTCCAGGTAGGCCCTGGGCTAGAGCATCTGACCAGTGCCAGTTAAGGTACTCTGATACAAAGGCTCTGCCCCCTCCATTCCCATGGGGTGAAGTCCACAGGAGGCTTCCTTAACACATGCAAAGGGGCTGCACTCTCAGCTGGCCCTCAGTCCAGCACCCGCCTCTCTGCGGGAACTGGGCTGTAGCCATGAACAGAATCTGGGTCCCAGGCACACTTGGGCAGAGACGGCTGGAGGGGACTAAGCATGACATGCAGAACACGGCTGAAGCTGGCCTGAGTCAGCTGTCAGTCATCAGGAGCTGGGCTGGGCAGCTTTTACCCACCTATAAAGTCACAAATCAAACAACCTTCCCTTTTATGTTAAAGCTTCAATTCTCAAAAGTGGTTTACACAAAATACATGGAAAATGGCTTTTCAGGGGAAAGTAATTTATTAGTAATTTGATGACATTCGGGTTGTGGTTTTGAAAGCAGAAAAGATAACATCAGGGAAGACCTGGGGATAGAAATATTGTTTGTCCATGGTTGGGACAACCCCTCCCCCGACACTTCAGAGACAGCAAACACCTTACTAAAAATATTCCATGTGGAAAACATGTCTCAAAACTTGTTCGTGAAAACTGGGGGGCTCCCATGTTGTGTTTGACGGAGGACTCTGGGTTCTAGGGGCACCAGACCAAGCTCTGGCTTCTACGGTTAGTAGCTCAGGGGCTTAAAGAAGCTTGAAACTTGATTCCAGGTTTCCTTTGTCACATTTTCTTCCTGGAGAGGTTCCATAGCAAGTGATTTCAAAACAATGGCTCCCCAAAATATTTACTGAAGCCTGGCATAGGGGTATACCCCAATAATCCCAATCTTTAGTGGGTGTGGAGGAAGAAGGATCAAGAGTTCAGGGTTATCTTTGGCTTTACAAAGAACTGGAGGCCAGCCTGGGCTACATGAGATCTTGTCTCAAAATAATAAAACAAAAACAATAAGAATTTAAAGACTTCTAACAAAAAAAAAATTATAGATCTTGGCTTGGTGGTGCTTGCCTGTAATCTCATGGCTCAAGAGCCTGGGACAGGAGGATCATGAATTTGAAACCAAGCAGAACCACATAGAGAAACCCTGCTTTGAAAAAACAACACTTAGAGGTAGGGAGATGGTTTAGCCTGGGTTCAGTTTCCAGCTCCCACAGGACAGCTTACAACTGTCAGTAACTCCAGTTCTAGGAGGTCCAGTGCCCCCTTCTGGCCTCTGTGGGAATCACACACATACATACTGTGCTTACATAAATGCAGACAAACCAAGTAAAATAAATAAACAAACAAACAAACAAATAAATAAAGCAGAAAGACATAAAGTATATAGCTTTAAAAATAAATATTTATTGAGGGTCCACCCCATGAAAGCCATGGTCCCAAGCAGGAACAAGCTGGAGATTGGAGGGGTGATCAAGACATGTGATGGTGCACACCCTTATTCCCAGCACTCGCAAGGCAGAGCCAGGTGGATCTCTGTGAGTCCGAGACCAGTCTTGGCTACAGAGTGAGTTCCAGGAAAGGTGCAAAGCTACACAGAGAAACCCTGTCTCAAAGAACCAAAAAAAAAAAAAAAAAAGACACACAACTCCTTCCCTCCCTGAGTGCACATCTCCAATAGGGGATAAAAAGAAGTATCAAATGTTTAATAAAATGTATATGATGTCATTGGTTGAGCTCCAGCACTAGGACCAATTGGCCAAACCAAAATTGAGCCCCTCAAGGGCTGGGACCAGGCTTAGCAGTACAGACAGCACTTGCCTTGGCTCTACCACAGGAGAGCTGGGAGCAGGGCTCACTGGTGGTATTTACCTAGCTTATGCAAGATCCTGGGTTCCATCCACAGCACCACAAGAAAAAAAAATACCAGCTTCTGCTACTTGTCAGGTTTGAGCCATTGTCACTTGGGGAAATCTAGGCAAGACTAGCCAAATCTCTAAACAGACAGTTTCATCCAGGGCGATAAGGTGCTTGCCTACCCGTGGGTTAATTAACCTTAGTGCTTTTGTTTCTGCTTTCCCTTGGCCTCCTCTGTCAGCCTCCTCTCTCTAGCACATCAGAACATTCACTGCATCTCCATTCTGTGACTGCAAATGAAGGCCAAGTAAGGTGGTGAGGTATGTCCCCACCTTCTATCTCCTGGCCTCCTCTATGTTGTCCAGGTTGGTCTTGAATTCCTGGGCTCAATGACGCTCTTGCTTTGGCCTTTCACTTCTCTGGGACTGTGGGTGTGTGCATCACAGCACCTAGCTCAGCCAGGATCTTTGAACTGCATTCATTGTTAATTTTGTCTTTTCATACAAGTAAATTGTAGACTGCAGCCAGTGCCCAGAGGAAACTGAGCTGGGATAGAGAACATGGAAGAACTAACAGATAAAGTGGCATGGAGAACAGTCTTTGAGGTAAAGCTGGGTATGATGGCACAAGCCTACAGTCCCAGCTATGTGGCAAGATCACTTGAGCCCAAGAGTCTAAGGCCAGCCCAGGTAACATAGTAAGAAATGGAGTTTAATTAACTTAGACTACAAAAGTGTAGAGAATAAGAAGGGTCCAGAATTGACAATAAAAGTAAAAGATAAATAAGTGCCATGATTTTCCATAAGAAGTCAAAAGACTCTAGAAGCTTAACCAGAGACCCTGGGGCATAAACAATGGTGGAGTATGGAGACTGCCTGGTATCTGTGGCTTCACTCAAAGTAGGAACCACTATCATTGTGAGACCACTGGGAAGTCCCTGGGTGAAAAAGGGGAACACTCAGCAGGTAAGCACAATCCTGGCAAGAGCTGGCTCTAAACCCCAAGACCCTAGAGCCTAAGGGGGTCCAATCCTGTGACAGATACTTAGAGGTACCTTCATAGGAAGAGGATCATCCAGCACAGTTGGCCAGCCAACAAGAGAACTTCTTGGGCTGGAGAGATGGCTCAGCCGTTAAAGACTAGGCTCACAACCAAAAATATAAGAGAACTTGTTTTAGACCTACAGGATCAAGAGGACTCCCAAGCTGTTTGTGGATGCCAACAGCCTGTACCTTTCCATAACACACACAGCCCATGTCACATAGCCAAAGCCTCTTCAGCAGGGGACAGTCCAACAGGATGTACTTGTACTCCAGCATACAGTCAATGCTGATGATGTGCAGAGGTACCTGCCAGGCATCCTCCATTCCCTGGTCACCTTCTGGGAGCCATAGAATCATCCAAGTGAAAGCCCATCCCCCATGGGGAGTAGCCTAGTCATCATAGCGGATCTCGGCCTGCAGCTCCTTGGTGACATAGGTGGTGAGCATGGCCAAGAGCTTCTGCTGCATGGCCTGGTTGCTCATGACCAGAGCAGTGAGCTGTACAGCATCTGTCCAGTCCAAGCTCCTGATGATGGCCGTGGCTTCGTTAACAAGTTTCTGCTGTTCAGCAGGGGGCAGCTCCATTAAGATCTGAGGAACCGGCTTAAACTGTCCACTCGTCATCCAGGCACCTAACAGGCCCCCAACAGTCCCCCCTGGAAAACAAGGAAAGGTTCAATTAGTGAGCCTCATTCTCCAACAATGGCCTTGGTTTCTTGTGGAGAATGAAGCCTCTGTCATGACAAGTGGGCACATTCATGAGCAGGTCACAGCAAGCTCAGTTTCTGCCAGGCAGTCAGCAGGGCAAAGGTTTATGCGGTCTCTAGTCCATTTGGCCCAAGTAATTGGCACCCATGCATGTCCCTCCCCATGACCTCCACTTACACCCTCCCCACCTCACTGAACACTCCCATCCCTGCGACTCCCAGAACAATCTGTCTCCACAAAGAAAGGGCTGAGAGGGAAGTCAGTCTTCTGGGAAACCACTTGCTTGGAGAGGCAGAGAGGTTGAGCTGTTTCCAAACAATAAACAACTTGGGGAGGAAAAAGTTTATTTCATCTTACAACTCTCGGGACACACTGGATCATTGAGAAAAGTCAGGGCAGGAACTAACTCAAATAGGGCAAGAACTTGGATACAGGAGCTGATGCAGAGGCCATGGAGAGGTGCTGCTTACTGGCTTGCTCAGTCTGCTTTCTTAAAATACCCAGAACCAGCAGCTCAGGAATGGCACAGTCCACAATGAGCCAAGCTCTTCCACATCAATCATCATCAAGACAATGCACCACAAGCTTGCCCATAGGCCAGTCTAGTGGGGGTATTTTCTCAATTGAGGTTCCCCCTTCCAAAATAATCAAGCTTGTCTCAAGTCGATAAAAAATCAGTGGCTGATAAGAAACATGCCCTTGAGCTTAGAAAATTCCCAGAGAACTCACATGAGAAATGACCCTGGAGGTAAGCCAGTTGTTTCTCTTGGAGACTGCCTTTGATTCCATTTTTAAAAAATAAAAACAAGACAAAAGCTAATATAATTACTCTTTCCAAAAATGGAAACACTTTTACCTTCTCTTGCTTTGCTTTTTAGTGACAAAGTCTTATTGCTTAGCCCAGGGTAGCCTAGAACTCTTGCTCCTCCTGCCTCAGCATCCCAGCTGAGAATCACAAGTGTGTGCCAGCCACCAAAACCAGCTAGAAACACTATTTTTAGATTTCTGCTTTCATTTTTTCCAGGTGCTTGATATTGTAGGGTGGGAGTGGGAGGGTGGCTCAAGAGATCCTGCTAAGTGCTCTAACACTGAGATACATCCTCAGATAGAAACATTGTTTTCAGTTTTTACTTGTAATTTTTTTTCTCAAGACAGGGTTTCTCTGTACAGCCCTGGCAGTCCTGGAACTCACTCTGTAGAGGGCTAGCATGCTAGCTTCAAACTCACAGAGATCCATCTGCCTCTGCCTCTCAAATGCTGGGATTTAAGGTGTGGATGACCAGTTTAGAAATATTGGTGGGTTTTTTTGTTTGTTTGTTTGTTTGTTTGTTTGTTTGTTTTTGTTTTGTTTTGTTTTTTGGTTTTTCGAGACAAGGTTTCTCCGTGTAGTTTTGGTGTCTGTCCTGGATCTCACTCTGTAGACCAGGCTGGCCTCGAATTCACAGAGATCCGCCTGGCTCTGCCTCCCGAGTGCTGGGATTAAGGCATGTGCCATGATTAAGGCATGGGCCACCGCTGCCCGGAAAGAAATACTGTTTTTAAATGCAACTTTCTGGCCAAAGTTAAGTCATGCTGTTATGGAACCTGAAGATCTTGTAGGATGGAAAATTCCATGTCCCCTGGCCATGTTGCATGACCCAAGGTGAGGGGAGGTCCTCTAGGGGAAGAGGTGTCAAACTAAAGAACCTTCAAGGACCAGGTGAAGTGATCCAAAGTGATGAGAAGAACATTGGATTTAGTGGCACATTCTTTTTTATTTATTTATTTACTTATTTATTTATTTATTTATTTGTGTGTGAGTGTTCTGTCTTCTGTATCTTCATGACAGAAGAGGGCATCAGATCCTATTGTAAATGGTTCTGAGCCACCACATGGTTGCTGGGAATTCAACTCAGGACCTCTGGAAAAGCAACCAGTGGTCTTAACCACTGAGCCATCTCTTCAGCCCGTAGTGGCACACTCTTAATCCCAGCACTTGAGAGGCAGAAGCAGGTGGATCTGTGTGAGTTGGAGGCCAGCCTGGTCTACAGAGGGAGTTCCAAGACAGCCAAGATTAAATAGTAAGACTCTTTCTCAAAATAACAAGTGTAGAGAGGGCAGAAGGGTCTGTGGTGGTCTGGGAAGCTAGGTTCCTGCCTGAAGGAACACCCGCTATTGTATGCCAACCAGTTGCTGCCACTGGAAACATCAGATCTGCATCTTTAAAGCATCCCATGAATTGTATGTATTAGCAATCAGATAGTCACAGATGAGCCTGGCTGGACTTAGTGAGTCATTTCTAAAGAACAGAATATGGGATGAGAAACAGAAACTTTAGAGTGGAAAAAAAAACCCAGCATATATGACCTTGACCAAGTTGCCACAGTCAGCCTCACTGGAGATGCCACAGGATGTCATGTACTCCTGGACTGATAAAGAAGACATGTCACCTCTGAGGTGCTCCCTCCCAAGACTCATGAGAAGCACATCATACAACTGAGAATTTTATAAAACACCTGACAACCACTCCCCCACACCAACTATGAAAAGGAAAGCCTAAGAAACTGTCACATGCCAGAAGAGACTAAGGAAAATGGGGTCATTAAAACAAAGTGTCAGCTGGGTGTGGTGGTGCATTCCTTTAATCCCAGCACTTGGGAGGCAGAGGCAAGGGGATCTTTGTGACTTTGAGGCCAGCCTGGTCTGCATAGTGAGTTCTAGGACAGCTAGTGCTACATAATAAGACCTTGTCTCAAAATTTGAAGAAAAAAAAAGTGGCAACTGGAAGAAAAACAAGGCCATTGTGCAAGGTCTGGTCACACAGAAATGGCTCCAAGTACTGCCTTAGTGCTGGCTGCTCGGTCCCCACAGCGTACCATGAAACATTCCCACCGCAACTAAATGTGGGAGAGGGACACATGGGGATTTTCTGTATAATTTTTGCAACTTCTACATGTATATAATAGTATTCCAAGATGAAATGTTTGTTTTAATGCTAGGGACACCATGATTGTAATTCCAGCACTCTGGAGGCTGAGGCATTAGGATCTCAGTTTTGAGGTCCAATCTGGAATACATAGTTTCAGACCAGCCTGAGGTACATAGATCATAGCTCAAAAAAAGTGGGTGGGACTAGAGAGTTGGCTTGGTGCTTAAGAGCAGAGCACTGGCTGCTCTTGCTGAGCACTGATGTTTGATTTCCAGCACCCACAAGGAGGCTCACAACCATTCTTAACTCCAGTTTCAAAGAACCTGATGCCCTCTTCTGGCATCTGTGGGTATTGCATGCATATAGTGTATGGACAAGCAAAACATCCATACACATAAAATAAAAAAATAACCTTATAAATATTTAATTAAGTAAACAGACAACACAGCTTAGTGAGAACCCACTTGTAGGCTGGACTCAGAAGACAGAGAGTGACACCCATGTTTTCTGACTCCAAGCAGGGTTGCCCTAGAAGCAGACAGCTCCTCTGGCTCCCAATACTGTTGCGGGGGCAGGGGGGAGGGAGCCAATCTCTAAAAGAAAGAGGCATTCCAAGGAAGGAAACCAATTCACTCACAAGTTTGACTGAACTTTTCCTCCTGACACCAGTGAGCCTCTTGAGCTGACTGTACTACACACATCTGCATTAACTCTTCACAGAACACCAATATTTGATTTACAACAGCACATAATACAGAGGATTATCAGGACATCGATGCACAAAGGAGAATTCCTGCGTTTTTCATGGGAAATGAAGCAACCACCCATGACCAGGGACCAGAAGCAGCGAGTCCCTATATATTCTAATATCTGCCATTACTCAATGTGAATAAAACATAGTCTCCCACAACAGAGACAGCACACAGCTATGTAATAAACTAGCCCCAATCAGGCTTCCCCTGGGCACTTAGCTAGGAGTGGGAATGCAAGAGTGTCACTGGGGAAACAAGAAATGGGCTTGTCTTCTCCTTTTGTGGGAAGAAGCTGAAGTCCGGACTCCTGAATTCACAGAATTTGCAAACACAAAAGGTGAAGGTTTGGGCCATCCATACATTTCCATTTCCATGAAATGCTGCTTTCATATAATGCAATGTTCTGCTGGGGGGGAGGGGTGGACACACTTGTCAGCAAGCAAGGAAACACTCAGTGCTAAAGATATTCCCTCTGCCCAGCCTGTTACCATGTGAGGATTGAAAATCACCTAGCAAAAGCTTCTAGAAGACTGGGTTCATGGAAGGACTGTACCCTAGGCTGTCAGCACACAACAGTAGTCAGTAAAGACCCAGTGCACATGGCAGGTGCCCATCCTGTGGTGGGGATGCCAGCTAAACTGTATCAAACAGTCCGTGGTGGCCATCTCAGGAGAAAGCAAGCAGAGTGAACGAGCAGCGTTCTATAGCTTTTGCTTCAGTTCCTGCCTTGAGTTCCCACCCTGACTTTTCTTCATAATGGACTATAAGCTGTAATAAACCCTTCCCTCTCCAAGTTGCTTTTAGTCATGGTATTTTCTCACATCAATAGAAAGCAAACTAAGACACAGTCACGCTGTGAGCAACTGATCATAGAAGGAACTTGGCAAATGTAGTTTCTCTGGCTCCCTTCTGAGGTAACATGGTAACAGTGACATATGGAGGGGACATCTGGAGGACCCAGACACCTCAATACCTTTATACTCAAGGACACATCTCTAGGGAAAGGGCAGAACCAGTGGGTTCCTGGAGGAAAGGTGCCTCCCAGGTCTAACAGATTCAAACACCAAGGCCAAGGGAAGCCTGTATCACATGGAAGCTGTGGTTCTGACAGAACATACTACACACAGAAGCAACTGGGCCTTAGAAACTCCCCACATGGGGTATGTGGTAGGTACCATTCTTATTTACCAGGTCATTCTTCCCTGTGGTTCCTCAAACATGCCAGAAGCCTGGAACATACTATGTAGCCTAGGCTATCCTTGAACTCTCCATGTTCCTGCCTCCCCAGGGCAGGGATTATAGGCCTGAACCAAGGCTGGCTATACATGTGAAGACACCCCCACTCACCAACAGCAATTCCTGGTGGGCCACCAACCAAACCACCGACAAAGGCCACTGTCCCCGCAACCAAGGCACCCCTCCCAGAGTGCTTGACAGCCGCCTTCATTTTCCTCTCTTGGGAAATGGAGCATAGAAGCTTCATGATGTCATCTACCAAGATGGGCATCTTGTCAGACCTTAAAAGACAATTCAAAGCGATAAGTGGTTTTAGTGTTTGCTCAATTGTGTACTTAAAAAAAAAAAACTGGCCGGGCGGTGGTGGCGCACGCCTTTAATCCCAGCACTTGGGAGGCAGAGCCAGGCGGATCTCTGTGAGTTCGAGGCCAGCCTGGGCTACCAAGTGAGCTCCAGGAAAGGCGCAAAGCTACGCAGAGAAACCCTGTCTCGAAAAACCAAAAAAAAAAAAAACTGTATGCAGATGTTCTGCTGCATGTATGCCTATGTACCACATGTGTGCAGTGCCCTTGGAGGCCAGTGATCCCCTGGAACTGGAGTTACAGACAGTTGTGAGATAACATGCAGGTGCTGGTAAACAAGCCCGAATCCTCTAAAAGGGCAGCCAGTGCTCTTAGCCTCTGAGTCTTCTCTCCAGCCACCGTTTTTTTTTTTTTGTTTGTTTGTTTGTTTTATTTTGTTTATTTTTTAGATAAGGCCTTCCTTGCTACATACTCCAGACCAATCTATTCAGTTTATTCATTTATTTTGAGATAATGTCTTGCTACACACTCCAGACCATAATCCTTCTGCCTCAGGCTTTTGCCTCAGGATACCAGGCAGAACACCATTGTTCTCTATGGCTGAACAGGGGAATTTTAATGAGCTTATGAGTATTTTGACCCAAATGTATCACTTTCTAACATCTTCGGAAGAGCATCCACCTTCTGGAAAGAAGAGTTGCTTGGCCGTGTGCATGCCAGACAGGCACACAGCCCTTTGTCGCCAAGAAGTTGGGCATCAACTAACAAGTAAATGGGAGCAGCAGAGTGGATGAAAGGTCTTTTCTGCCCTCTGATTCCCCTGACAAATGAGGAAGCAACCTCAGCCACAGGCTTTACCAGTCCTCTAGCAAGCTAAGCCTGACCTCTCTCACACCAACAGCCTTTCAAGTGGCTCCTTGCAACCTTCAACATATAAAGTCTGGCAGGGACAGGAAATTCCCAGCCATATGGCCTCTTGCATGTGACAAGGTATCTGAGCCAAGCCAGAAAGGGGGGAAACGGACTAGATTCTGAGGCCACACTGGCATGTGCCTGCTGGGTAACCCAGAGCCAGGAGTTAGATGGATACTTAGCTTTAAGACAGAATTAAAATGGGGCTGAAAAAGTAGTTCTTTATGAAAAATGCTCTGAATTTGAGCCCCAGTGAAAAAAAGAGGGTGGACCTTGTAAGGGGTCCATAGAAGGGATGCAGAATGACTGACTGCGAAGAGCCGAGGGCAGTGCAGACCCTGTGGAGACATTGTGAGCAGAGACAAGACCTAGGTATGTTAGCACAGGCTATACACTCAATACTGGGGAAGCTAAAGCAGGGGAGTTATGAACCCATGGCCAGCATGGATTAGATTGCTAGATTTTTCTGCCAAAATAAAATAATGACTTGTTAATTAAAAATAAAGAAAACCAGGAATAATATGATTTACCAAGATGAAGCCATTACAAAACAAAATAAATCAGATTTCTGGGGACTTGGCAATTGGCATGGTGGCTCACTCACGGCTGCAATTTCAGCATTTAGGAAGTAGAAGAAAGATCAGGACAAGTCTGAGGCCAGCCTGGGTTACATAGTAAGATCCAGGTTTGCCTGCACTACAGAGCAAGACCCTGTCTCAAAATAACAAGAGACTTCCAGGGGCTTGCAAGGTACATGAAATGATAGACAGAGAACCCTTAAGAACAATGATTGTAAACAACTTGCTAGAATCAGGACACATTGCCATGCCAGCTGGGAAGTGATAGGCAGAGGCATAGCCATAGGTAAGGTGCACTGTGCCCCACAGAGGGACTGGTGGGTAAGGAGAGCCCACACACTGACAGGCCACTTCACAAGGTTGGGGAGAAAAGGCAGCAGAGCTGACACTTCTGACTCCCACACCTCCTGTTCCCATGAGGCTGAGGGACCTGTCAGGTAAGGGACCTTGCTGATGAAGTTCTGGGCTACTGTCAATAGCCTTGGGTTATACTGGGCTTTGGTCAGTGGGTTGATTTCTCTCTATGGCCAAGAAGTATGCAGAATCAGAATCTCTCAATGTAAAATTGCCCCCTTGGCTCTGGAAGTTCTGAGCCCTTTAAGGAACCCATGGAGCCACCACATTGTCACAAAGGCTATTTTTCAGAACTCCTAAACACTCCCAAGAGAAAGAAGTATGCTGTGTTCCAGCCCCTAGAAATGTTCCTTTTTCTCACCTCCACCCCCTTTTGAGACTTTACTTGCTGTAAGAAGGCTAGCCTGGAACTCATGGTACTTCTGCATCAGCCTCCTAAGCGCTGGTATTATAGGTTTGAAACCACCGTTTCTGGCTTCTTTATCCGGTTTGATAAACTTTAGATGAATGCCTTCCTTTCAAAAGACTAACACCCCACTCCTATCCTGTAAAGTACCTAACCACTTCCTAGTTTAGCTTTGGTGCAGATCCAGCTTTTTGTTTGATCTGTCAGTTACAGTGGAAAAAGTCAGGTGCAGCCCAGGTTTCAGAAGACAGCTGGACACCACCCATGCTCAGAAGCACAAGGCTTGTGCCATTCCGGTCCTACAGCATCAGCACACAAAAACCACTCCACATATCATTTCTCTGCAGAATAATGGATTTGCACTCTCAAAATGGTTTTTGCATAACAAGACAATGCATGTGAAAGAGGTAGGGCAGAGATGCATACAGTAGTGCCCCCTCATCCATAAAGAATACATTCTGAGACATCAGTAGATGCTATAAGCTTGATTAATCTGTTCTTCCAGCTTTTATGCCCTGGTTCCTTTGCATTGTAACTCTAAGGCTTTGGAGCCTTTATTAAGTAAAACGAAATTATTTGAGCACAAGCACTGGGCACCCACAATGTGACAGCAGAGGGCTACTGAGTGACTAGCATGTGGGTAGGGTACACCCTGTGGATATACTGGACAAAGGGAAGATTCACATCCTAGGCAGAATAGAGCAGGGTTGCATGAGATTTCATGACACTATTTAGACAGCATGAAATTTCTAACTACTTAGAAAACGCATGATTTAAAACTTACTAGGTATTTAAAACTCATGAATTGATTATTTCTGAAAATTTTCACCTAATCTTTGGCTGCAGTTAGTTGAAACTACAGAAGGTAAAACTGTGGACAAGGGGAGCAGGCTAATGTACCTACCCATTTCACCCTTGATTATCTACTCAGAGGCAGCTCCAACCTGTTCTGGATAACTTTAAGTCAAAACCTATGGAGCAGATAAGGTACCAACATGCACATGTTGTTCCCAATCTCCACCCAGCCCAGCTAAGTCAGTGCAAGAGGACAAGCTCTTTAGCTTGTGCCAGGGAGCAGGGGAGCTGGGCACGGAAAGCTCCACTCTAGCTGGGCTTCTGCAGTCTGTGGCTGCAAGGCAAGGCTGGTTTAAATTTCTGGAAGAATAACATCAGAAGTTACAGCAGCAACAGGCATTTGTTGTGAAAGAAAGGTTTGCGACCCCGGCTCCCAAGTCTCTGTGAAAGTGTTTCATTTCCTTCATTCTTCAGGCTCAAGAAATTGAAAGGAAACATGCCCTGTTCCTCCTCCCAGACCAGGGCCACCTGTGTCTGTAAGTGATGGGGAGAGATGAGGATGCAGGAGACAGGACCTTTCTACAGTAGTACAACTATTTCAATAATGCTGTCCTCAAACCAGGTCCTGATCACTGGAAGTCCACCTGCCAGCCATAGGGAAAGCAGATACTAACACAGAGCTCTGACTAGTGGAAGGTGACAGTAGGGCTCTGGACATACACAGAGGAGGTGAAAAGTCAAACCTTTGGACAGCAGCCTGATTTGAGTTCAATTAAGTTGTGAGGGACAAGGGAGAAGGCTTCAGAGCTAACAGGGACCTCAATATTAGACAAAGCTGGGATTCCAATTCCGGATGTGTGCTGGGAGAGAAACGAAACAGAAAGTGAATGGAGAACAGGCCCTTGGCCAGAAGTCACTATCTTGTTCCCCCTTCTGGAATTTGCAGACTCCAGGTTGCAGTCTGGCCTCTGTAAAGTTCATCATCCAGTTCTTCCACCACACAAAGTTGTTTTTAAATTACTTGACGGTTGGTATTTAAAAATAAGACATCGAGGGCATGCTGGCACACGTGCTGCAAAGGATATGGTAGGAGGACTGACAGTTCAAAAATCAGAAGTTGAAAGATGAGAAGGCGTCAGTGGTAGGTTCACCTATAGCTCTCAGACTGGGCTGGCCAGGGGCTGACACCAGGCACTCGTGCACTCCGCAGCGCAATGCCCTCTGCCCGGGCCTCCACCCCTGCCTACATGCACTTTATCTACTTACTTAGTCATAGCAGAACGCTTCTCAACCGCAACTCCAACTAATCTGGCCTTCTGAGCCCCTGACATCCCTTCCTGACTATCTCCAAGCTAGTGCTCAGGTCCCCTCCCGGCACTGCGCACGCGCCCTCCCGCACACCCGTGCTGGCTTTGCGCGGAGCTGGTAACCTCAGTACTTCAGCTTAGGCCTCAATTCCTTGCATGAAGACGAACAGCAGTGTGCCCGACACCGTGGAGTGCCCGACCGGCTCCGCAGACCCTAGCTTCTCTGAGCGCACCTTTACCGTGCTGGTGCCTGGGACCGCGGGGACAAGAAGCCCGCTCCTCTCTGCCGGCTCCGCTCCGCTAGCGCCAGAGAGGAGCTCACAGGCCACTGCCGCCCTGGCTCCGCCCTCCCGCCTTCCGGCTCCGCGGGCCTTCCGGGTCGCTGTTGCTCTGGGTCCCCGCGGGTCCGGGTCCCCAAGCTGGGCCAGTTTTGGGGAAGGACCCTCGGGGCGCAGGAGCGAGTCCCTTACTCCCCCGCAGCCACCCCGCCCCAGTGTCTGGTTGGCTGGCACCGAGACCGAGACCATGACTTGGAAGCGGGAACCCTGCGGTGACCCTGGAGAGGACTTTGTGTCCCGAGGACCCGCTGCGCCCCACCCCCACCCCGGCTACCCCGCCCTATACCTGTCTAGGAACCCGGGTAGCTCCTGGAAGGTCCTCTCTGAGCACCCTTTGCGCTGGGTCTGTGACCTGTAGGGCCTTTCCCCCGGATTCCTGGGTAGAAGATGCAGCAGCAGGGGTCTGAGCTGTCCCAATACTGTGAACTGTAACCCTGAGCGAAGTCTTGCTGAGTAGGCACGATTCAGTGGGGCTGGGCTGGGCTGCCACCCAATTGGAAGTGTGGACTCCAGTCTGTACTCTCTGCCTGGGGAATGTAGCGAGCCTCCAGATGACCGGCTGTTTCCCATGAAAAGTCTAGATTGATTTATTCATTTTATATATACACGTACGCCTGCACACCATCAGATCTTACTACAGATGGTTGTGAGCCACCATGAGGTTGCTGGGAATTGAACTCAGGACCTCAAGCCAGTATTCTTAAGCCATCTGAGCCATCTCTCCAACCCCTATTTGTATCCTTTTTTGTCTTCTTGTGAGAAATCTTGGAAAGCCTTTTAATACCAAGATTCTCCTGGCTGGAGTGGAAAATTCTGTCCGTCTTCGTGCCTGAATTTGGGTTACTTTCAAGAACCAAAGTTAACTGAGGTTAATAGATCAGCTCGCTGCTCCAGTGTCCCCCGCGGGCAGCGCCCTCTGGTGGCATGTTAGAGAACCGGACTATTGTCTCCTTGGCCTAAGAATTCAGGGAGCAGCAAAGAAAGCTCAGTGGAGAAGAGAGGCTAGGATATAAGACATTCACACAAATGACGAACGAAGTCATAAAATGATCACGCTGAAGGCTAGAGATGTCACACATAGCTCACTAGCGGCTGAGGCTGTGAAGGCTAGGTGGTGTACATCCATAGTCCCATCACTTGGGACCCATCTTTAATCCCAGCACTCAGGAGGCAAAGACAGGCAGATCTCTTAGTTTGGGGCCAGCCTGAACTACATAGAGAGTTCCAAATGGGCCAGGGCTACATAAGTGAGACCCTGTCTCAAACAACAAAACAAACAAAAAACAACAGTTTGAGACAACCTAGGCTGAATATGGAGACCCCGTCTCAACCCTCTCCTCTCCCAACCCCAGATTCGCACATGGAAAGCTTTTGTTAGTGATTCTAAGAATGGCGGTGACTAGTGACCTCATATAAGAGGCCCAGGGAGCTTGTTGTCCCCTTCCTTCAACTATGAGGTGCTTGGTCTCGCTAGACATGGAAATTGCTGGTACCTTAATCTTGTACTTCCTGGTCTCCGAACTAAGAAATCAGTTCAATTGTTCCTAAGTCCCCTATCCTTGCTATTTTTACAGCAGCTTGAAGGAACTAAGGCACTTCCCATGAGCCTATAGGAAAGACCTCTGTCTCTCTTAGCTTCTGGTAAAGTCACCAGTCTTCGATAACCATTGGCTTACAGTGCTAATCTTCTATGTTGCTACGTGGTGCACATAGGTGCACACTCACATGCATGCACCAGACACACATATACATGCATGTGAGTTGGTGCACCTGTGTGTACATGAAGAGGCCAGAATAAGACGTGGAGAGTTCTTCCTCTATTGCTCTCTGTAGTAGTTTGAAAGAAAATGGCCCCCAAAGGAAGGGGTGCTATAAGGAGGTGTGGCCTTATAGGAGTAGGTATGGCCTTGTAGGAGTAGGTGTGGCCTTGTTGGAGGAAGTGTGTCACTGTGAAGGCAGGCTTTGAGATCTCATATATGCTCAAGCCACTCAGAGACAGACCACTTCCTGTTGCCTGTGCAAAATGTAGAACTCTCAGCTACCTCTCCAGCACCATGTCTGCCTGCCGAACACTAGGCTCCCTGCCATGATGATAATGAACTAAACCAATGAACTGTAAGTCACCCAATTAAATGCTTTCCTTTATAAGAGTTGCCATGATCATGGTGTCTCTTCACAGTGATAGAAACTCTATCTAAGGCACTCTCCCTTATTACATTGAGTTGAGGTTTCCTACTGAATAGCCATTGTCTTGCTGTTTCAACAAGGCAGTTCCTGGAATCTGCCTGTCTCTGTCCACACCTCCAATGCTGGAGCCCCTATCATATGTAGCCATGACTGGCTCTTTACATGGGTGCTAGGATTCACACTCAGGTCCCCGTACTTGCCCAGAAAGCACTTAGTCACTGGGCCATCTCCTCAGTCCTCCATTCCCTTGTCCTTATAAGGACACAAACTATGGTGACTAAGAGCCTACTTTCATGACCTCATTTTTACTTGATTACATCCATAAAGACCCTACTTTCAAATAAGGTTATGTATACAGTGACAGAATTGGGACCTCATGTCTGTGTAGGAAGATGACAGTTCAGTCTGGTAGCTGAATAAACACGGCACCCATAGGCTCATGTTTAAATACCTGGTCCCCAGTTGGTAGAACTGTTCTGAGATGTGACCTTGTTGATGGGGGTGTGTCACTGGGGCCAGGCTTTGAGGTTTCAGAAGACTGTTAACACATTCCATGTGTTCTCTGCTTCCTGTTTATGGACCAAGGTAGGAGCTCTCTGTGGCTGAAGGAATGGCTCAGTAGCTAGGAGAACTTCCTTCTTTTCCAGAGGACCTTAGTTCTGTTCCCAGCACCCATGTTGGTGACTCACTACCACCTTTAACTCCAGGTCCCAGGGAATCTGATGTCTCTGGCCTCCACCCACAACTGCATTCAGATGCATACACACAAACATAAACAAAAATTAATTAAAATAAATAAATAAAAAGATGAGCCCCCAGCTGCTGCTCCAGCCATCTACCACCACGCCTTTACTCTGCCGTCATAAACACTAACTCTCTGGAACTGTAAGCCCAATAAAAACCCTTTCTTTTACAAGTTGTCTGGGTTATGATGTTATATCACAGCAATAGAAGAGTAAGACAAACCCATAACACCAGGAACTCACAAAATGCCAGCTGTGAGTATTGCTTCTGCGCATGTGCCTGACAGATAGGTATCCACTCCACGAGAGGACACAGACAGAATCCTCAGGCCAGGCCTAAGTCAAGCTTGATGTGTGCGTTAGGACCGCTGACGCTCTAGTCTTGGGAGACCTTGACCTTGAAAGTGCTGTCAGAGTCAAGATGGTTTGGAGACTGATGACAGTCTCACCTTGGGCTCCATGACTCTTCTAAAGGTTAATTCATCATTCATCCTTCAGCTTTCCATAGACAGTTATCACATCCCTTTTTCCACCACTTAGCATCAGTCTGCATGTTTGCTGTGGCATTCCGTGCGCTGTCATCACTGCCAGGATTTTTGTTATTCCCTCCCTGCACAGCCATGACTCCCTCAGCCATCATTACCACCTGAATCTCCTCCAGGTCCCCAGCCTTTCAAGTGCCATCTTACCCAAGGTGGGACATTAAAAATCATTAGTGGAGAGAGGAGATGACTTGCAGACTCTATAACCCCTTATTCCTCTCTAATTCCTATCACTTTCCCCAAAGTCACATTTAAAAAGAAACAGCAAAACTCAGTGAAAACACAAGTGCAAATACAGCTTCCAGACAAAGCCCTAGGCTGGCTCCCAACTCATCCTTACTGTCCTCAAGTATGAAATGAAGACAAGGACCCAGGCTCTCAACAAGCTTGGCTTATTGTGGCAACTAAATGAAGAAAGAGACAAAAAGTGCTGTGCCCACTAAGAACAGGAGACCAGCTGCACCAGCGTGCTGTCAATGACCGGTGTCTACAAGGCATCTTGAGGATTCCAAGGGAGAACTTACAAATGAACTCAATAGAGCTCTGTTGCACCTGAATCTGTCTGATGAAGGAATGTAGAGTGCCAGGCAGTGGTAGCATGTGCCTACTGTCTCAGCATTTGGGAGGCAGAGGTAAAAGGATCATTAAAACTTTGAGACCAGACCGGGCAGTGGTGGTGCATGCACTTGGGAGGCAGAGCGAGATCCAGGACAGGCACCAAAACTACACAGAAAAACCCTGTCTTGAAAAACCAACTAACTAACCAACCAAACAAACAAACAAAAACAACTTTGAGGCCAGCCTGAGCTACACAGAAAGATTCTATCTTGCAAAAAAAAAAAAAGGGGGGGGGGATATGAAGGCATGAAGAGATGGCTCAGCAGTTAAGAGCAACAGCTGCTCTTCCAGAAGACCTGGGTTAGATTTCTAGCACCGGCATGGCAACTCATTGTGACTCTAGTTCCAGGGGATCTGATGCTCTCTTCTGGCCTCTGTGTGTACCAGGCACACAAGTAGTGCACAGACATTTAGGGAAAACACCCATTCACATAAAATGAAATTAAACTTAAAATAAGAACCATACTTTATGAAAGTAGAAAGGATACTATTTGAGACAAGGAACCAGAACAGCATGGGCACCAGAGAGGATAATGGGGTGAATATGGTTCAAGTATATGATATTCTTGAACAAAAATGTCACAAAACATAGCCCTTCATACAGTAAATATATACTAGTAAATTTGTTTTATTTGGTGGGGATTGAGACAGGTCTCACTATGTAGCCTTAGCTGGCCTAGAACTCACTATATAGACCAGGGCGGCCTTGAATTTGTAATTATCCTTCTGACTCTTCCTCCCAAGTCCTAGGACTGAAATCATGCAACATCACACCCAGCTAGTATTTTTTTTCTAAAGAATGGAAAAAGAATTAGACCCCACTTCAAATCCCAGTAATAAATTTTAGCTTTCCAAATATGGCAGAGAGCTGACTCCTAGATGAGCCCCAGGGAATGTATCACAGATGGACCTGAGGGGACTTGGGAAGATTACAATGCTGTAAAAGATTTGGGGGGGGCGGGGGGAACCCACCTTGCCTTCCTCTCAGAGGGTGCAGGAGAGTTTCCCACTCGGAAGACTTATTTTCAGTCTGAGAACAATGAGTTTCAATGGTTCTGTTGAACATGCAATTCTCACACAAGTATTTCTATAATTATCCTGTTTCAGTTATGATACAGTCTCTGGAACAATGGGACTTTTATTGTATTGCTATATCCGTTATAATAGATGTTTTATTACAGAAAATTATGGTAGAGTCACTCTTACGATTCTGAAGTTTTTCTTTCAAATTGCTCATAGGATGAAATCCTTTTTTTCCTAAGTAGTTTTACTTTAATGCTGCAATGGGTGCATTTTTTTTTAACCCTAGTTGGTTTGAGAATTTCTTCAATAGCAGAATGCTTTCTTT